CAAAACCAGCCATTTGGCGTCATGGGTTCACTTAATGACCACATTAAAGGTCATAAAATCGAGGGTGATCATGTGGCCACCCACTTAATGACTGCCACGGCTTATGACCGTAATTTTGGACTCAATTACAAGGTTTCTCAACCTCGGCAACTTGAAGACGGCCGGACTTCAAGTCCCAGAATTCCTCAGCTGGCTGGCTGAAGAATTCTGGGAGTTGAAGTCCACCCATTTTCAAGTCGCCAAACTTGGAGAAACTTTGCTGTTTAGTATTCAGTCACCTATATTTTTAAACTAGGGGACTCCGACGTGTCTGAAAAGGAAATCACGTGAGCTCTCACTGGGCTATAGTTCCTTCCCTTTTCTTTTTTTTAACTTTTTTAAAAATAGCACGTCTTTCGTATCGTTCTTTTTTAAAAAAAGAAGAACAGCCCCGACAGTGTAAAAGCTGCTTTGGAAGCCCAAACACACGGGCATGAAAAGGACCTCACAAAGATCAGACAGCCCTTGGCTGAATACCACTTCAACGCACCCTTAAAAACACCCCTAGGAAACCCAGCATCAAAATTTGGGGAGGGGGGGGGAGAAATACAGATAGTCCTCAAGTTACGGCCACAGTTTATGTTGCTAAGCGAGTCATCTGTCAAAACAAGTTCTGCTCCATTTAACGAGCTTTCTGGCCACAGTTCCTAAGGGAATCACTGCGGTTGTTTGAGTTTGCAACACGTTTGTTAAGTGATTCTGGCATCTCCCCCCCCCCCCGACTTTGCCCGTCGGAGGATTGCAAAAGGGGAATCGCATGATGCCGGGACACTGCGACCGTCATAAATGTGAATCAGTTGCCAAGCGTCCGAGCTTTGATCATGTGACTGTGGGGATGCTGCCATATGTAGGATATATGTCATTTTTTTTTAAGGCTGTTGTAACTGAACGGTCACTAAATGAATTGTTAAGTTGAGGACTACATAAATCAGGGGTCCTCAACCGTGGCCACTTTAAGACTTGGGGACTTCAACTCCCAGAATTCCTCAGCCAGCAACTCTCAGCCAGAGTTGAAGTCCCCAAGTCTTAAAGTTGCAAGCTGAGGAATTCTGGGAGTTGAAACCCCAAGTCTTAAAGCTGCAAGCTGAGGAATTCTGGGAGTTGAAGTCCCCAAGTCTTAAAGTTGCATGCTGGGGAATTCTGGGAGTTGAAGTCCCTAAGTCTTAAAGTTGCAGGCTGAGGAATTCTGGGAGTTGAAGTCCCCAAGTCTTAAAGTTGCAGGCTGAGGAATTCTGGGAGTTGAAACCCCAAGTCTTAAAGTTGCAGGCTGGGGAATTCTGGGAGTTGAAGTCCCTAAGTCTTAAAGTTGCAGGCTGGGGAATTCTGGGAGTTGAAGTCCCTAAGTCTTAAAGCTGCAGGCTGGGGAATTCTGGGAGTTGAAGTCCACAAGTTTTAAAGTGGCCACGATCGAGGACCCCCGACATAAATACTAACCACGTTTCAACCCACCATCGTCAAATTAGACAGGATCCCAGAGAACCTGGACATCAGTTGACTGGGACATTTTTTTTAAAATGTCCCGGATAAATCCTCTCCCCCTCCCCCCAAAATTGTGTGACGGTGTGAAACAGAAATCGAAAGACAATAATGGATTTTTCTCTTTCCCGTCTCGGTCCTTACCTGCATTCCTGACATCTTCTCGGGGGCTTCCGGCGACTGGATCTCACAAGGACACGTCACTTGGTACCATGAGACCTAAGATGGGAAAGGTCCGTTTTAAGATCAGGTTTTTGTGTTCGGCCGAGGGTTTGCTCGCCTCCCCACAACGACAACGTGCACACCGGAGAGTCAATTGGCGCCCGTTTCTGCAAGGCTGCGACGCTTTTGAGTTTTTGACTGGGACCCAAGGTGAGGTGTGTCCCTTTCGCGCCCCCAGACAGCCCAAAACAGGTGGTCCTCGACTTACGACCGTTGCTAAGCAAGGCAGTTGTTAAGTGAGATTTACCCCGTTTTACAACCTTGCGGTTCTTAAGTTAGTAATGTGGTTGTTAAGTGAATCCGGCTTCCCCCGCTGACTTTGCTTGTCAGAAGATTGCAAAAGGGGATCACGTGATTCCGGGGACACTGCCCTTGTCAGAAGTATGAGTCAGCTCTCATGTGACCGTGGAGACGCTTCAACCGTCGTGAGTGCGAGGACTGAGGTCATCTGACCCTTGCCTAACTTTTCTTTCCTTAAATATTCCGTTAAAAACAACGGAGGCCAAACATGACAATCTCTGCAGGTAACAAGAAGCCAGCTTGAACACGACAAGGGAAGTTTGCCACACTTTTGCGCCAAGCTGCAATCCAACAAGACAAAACCCAGAATGCACCTCTATCCCACAATCCACCTCCCCCAAAATATCTAAACAAGAACTGGAGCTACGTTCTGCTCCAATTTTAGTAAAATCGTGGACCACGCCAAACTTTTTTTTTTCTCTTTTGAAAAATAGAATGAAAGAATGACTAAGGATTTCACATTTTCCTTTCCTTTCCTTCCTTCCTCATAAAAATCAATCATCCTTCTTTCCTTCTACATTATAACCATCTATGTATCTTTCTTTCCTCCCTTCCCTTCCTCTTTCCCTCCCTTTCCTCCTCCCTTCCTTCTTTTTCTTTTTCTTTCTTTTTTCACTTTCTTTCACCCTTTCCAAGCATCCTTCTTTCCTTCCTTTTCTTTCTCTTTGTTTCTTCTTTCTTTTCTCTCTCTTTCCTTCTTTCTTTCTTTTCTTTTCTTTCTTTCTTTCACCCTTTCCAAGCATCCTTCCTTCCTTCTTTCTTTCTTTCTTTCTTTCTCTTTCCTTCTTTCTTTTCTCTTTCCTTCTTTCTCTTTCTTTCTTCTTCTTCTTCTTCTTCCTCTCTCTCTCTCTCTCTCTCTTTCTTTTCACCCTTTCCAAGCATCTTTCAACATGTGCTTTAATTTGAAAGCATCCGAAGCGACAGATGCACAGACACCTTCGGGGAAACGCTGATGGATCCATTAGCGTGCCATCGATCCCGGGGTCAAGAAACAGACGAGAGTGATGGCTATTGAACAAACCAGCCCCAGTATGGATGTTCTGCCAGGAAGGACGGTGAGCCACTCCTTGCAAAACGTGTACGTGTATAAAGAGCCCTGGTGGCGCAGTGACAGACTCCATGCCAGTTTGGCACAGTGGTTAAGGTGCTTTCCCACGATGCTATTAAGTGAATCATGCAGCCGTTAAGCAAATCCAGCTTCTCCCGTTGACTTTGCATGTTGGAACGTCGTCCATGGCGATTGCACGCCAGCTGGGGGATTCCGGGAGTTGAAGTCCACCCGTTGTTCCAGTTGCCCAGGCTGAGAAGCAGAGCGATGATGCCAGAGCTGAAACAGGCATCAGCCCCACTGCCTTTCCCTCCTCCCTCCCTCCCTCCCTCCCCTGCTCAACCCTTGGCTGCCCCGACGGCAGCACCAGGAAGTGGGCTGGCCTCCCCACTTTCCCTACAGCTCCCCAGAGATCCAACTTTTGCCCCGCGGAAGCTAACTTTAACGGCTCCTAATTCCGATCTCACAGCAAAGGCCCAGCAGCTGCTATTCATAAGAACGAGAGTTGGAGGTTTTGACTTTAAGAGGCTCAAGGCACAGCCCGTGGCTGAGCTGGGTGCAGACGCCGGGGGGGGGGGGGGAGAGGGTCAGAGATGCCTGGGATACGCCCACAAGCCCTTGCTCTGGGCCAGCAAGGTAGGGCAAGAACCCATCCATCCCATCCTATCCATCCAACCTATCCATCCATCCATCCCATCCATCTATCCATTCATTCCATCCTATCAATCCAACCTATCCAGCCATCCATCCATCCACCCATCCCATCCCATCAATCCATCTACATCCATCCCATCCTATCAATCCAACCTATCCCTCCATCCCATCCCAATCCATCCATCCATCCATCCCATCCTATCAATCCAACCTATCCATCCATCCCATCCCAATCCATCCATCCCATCTCATCCTATCAATCCAACCTATCCATCCCATCCATCCATCCAATCCATCCATCCATCCAATCCATCCATCCATCCATCCCATCAATCCAATCTATCCATCTATCCCATCCCAATCAATCCATCCATCCATCCCACCCCATCCATCCATTCCATCCTATCAATCCAATCTATCCATCCCATCCCATCCATCCATCCCATCCTATCAATCCAACCTATCCATCCATCCCATCCCAATCCATCCATCCATCCATCCACCTATCCATCCATCCCATCCCATCAATCCAACCTATCCATCCATCCAATTCATCCATCCTATCAATCCAACCTATCCATCCATCCCATCCCAATCCATCCATCCATCCATCCCATCCATCCCATCCCATCAAACTGCTGGACTCTGAGGCTACACCTGGCCAGCTTCCCAAGGGACTAAAGGGTCACCTCGTGGGTGTTTGGAACATGGCCGCCCAATCTTAAAAGAGCAGAGGAATCCCTGGCAAGGCTGCAGGGTCTTGTCCAGCCTACTGGTGAGGACCGCAGGTTCTCCTGCATCGCTCCGTGAACAAGCCCAGCTTTGTTTCCTCGGCCGAGCAGATGTATGAGGTCATTCATCTTAGCAAAAAGACGTAGGTGGCCATGCAAAGCTCAGCAGAAACATCAGCCAATGCTTGAAGTGGGTCCAGGGGTGGGGGGCAGCCTCGATTCACTCCCTCGGAGACAATCATCCCTTCTCCCAAAACCCTACTCTTAGCCCATCTAAACTCAGTTATCTGTCCCACACCAGGCTGGCTGGGGAATTCTGGGAGTTGAAGTCCACAAATCGTAAAGTTGCCAAGGTTGGAGACCCCTACTTTAAAGCACACAGAGTCCTTCCCATCACCACCTTATCAGTCTTTGGTGCTGGGATCTGGTTGTTAACCGGTTTTCGTTTTAAATGGGCAAAGCGTGCTTCTAGACCTCAAGACAAAGGAAAGAAGGTCTGAACGCCACACTCTCTGAAAAAGGTCCTGTTGAGGTGCCTTTCCACAAGGGTAGACTTATGCTCTCGTATTATGTCTCTCTCATCAAAGAAGCGTCCTTCACCAGTTGTCCTCCAGATCAGTGTTACTCAACCGTAGCAACTTTAAGATATGTGGACTTCAACTCCCAAAATTCCCCTGCTCCGGTTGCTTTGGAACTGCAATTCCCAAGCATTCTTGGCACAGCACAATGCCATTTTGTCTTTATGAATCTCTCTGCCAGGTGAAGCAGCAGTTGGAGAAACCATGACTCACTGGAAAACCCAGGAGAGAGTAAAGCCGACATTAAATCGTTAAGCAAATTAATATTTTAATGCTCATCTGTTGCATTACCCTGAATCCTGGCCACCTCCTTTGTACTGGACATTTTGAAATACAGTAATAAAAAACAGAAACAATAAACACAGAACCCCAGAGGCTTCTTCTCGTTCTGATCACAATTTGGAGGCAGGAGGGAAAGTAGAAGAACAGCTGATTAGCTGACCTGACAGGTCTTTGCCCATTTATAGCTCAGAGCGACAGCCACCCAGACCAAGGTTTCCTGACCAAGCAGAGTGAAAATGGCAAAGAAAAAACCATGCATATAAGGCAGCATTACAGGACTAAGCCAAGCAAGCCAAGAAAATAAACAAACTAACGTGCCCGGTTTAGCTACAAATTTAGAACTAATAGTTGATTGTTATATTTTGCATCCAGAGCAGGTTTTTCTGAGGAAGGAAGGAAGGAAGGAAGGAAGGAAGGAAACAGAGAGAGAGTAGGAAAGTAGGAGGAAGGAGGGAGGGAGGGAGGGAGGAAGAAGACACAGAGGGTAGGAAAGTAGGAAGGGAGGGAGGGAGGGAGGAGAGGGGGGAGAGAAAGAAGGGAGGAAGGAAAGAAAAAGAAAGAGAAAGAAAGAAAGAAAGAAAGGAAAAAGAAAGGAAGGAAGGGGGAGGGAAGGATAAAGGGAGGGAGGGAGGAAACAAAAAGAAAGAAAGATGGTTATAATGTAAAAGGAAAGAAGGATGATTGATTTTTAGAAGGAAGGAAGGAAGGAGGGAGGGAAGGGAGGGAGG